CACGCGTCGCTCGTGCAGGTGCGCATCGAGCGCTGTTTGACTACACCCGGCGGAGGACGCGCTCAATCCCGTGTCGCGAGGCGGGCCTACGTTCTAGCCACGCGACATCCTACACATTTGTCAGCCAGGGACGATGCGCACTGGTGGCAGGCACGGCTTTGAGCTCGACGAGGACGAGGGAAACTTGGCGCGCGCGGGCTCATCCCGGGCGCAGATGCTGCAGGAGAGGTGAGTGATGGGCGGTGCGGGGTCTCATCCGGCGTGGATGCTGGAGGAGAGGTGAGTGACGCCTGGGTGCGGGGCTCATCCCGCGGTGGATGCTGCAGGAGAGACGTGAGTGACGCCTGGTGCGGGGCTCATCCCGGCGTGGATGCTGCAGGAGAGGTGAGTGACGCGCGGCGCGGGGCTCATCCGGCGCGGATGCTGCAGGAGAGGTGAGTGCACGCGCGGTGCGGACTCATCCCGGCGTGGATGCTGCAGGAGAGGTGAGTGATGGGCGGTGCGGGGCTCATCCCGGCGCGGATGCTGCAGGAGAGGTGAGTGACGCGCGGCGCGGGGCTCATCCCGGCGCGGATGCTGCAGGAGAGGTGAGTGACGCGCCGGCGCCGGGCTCATCCCGGCCGCGGATGCTGCAGGAGAGGTGAGTGACGCGCGCGCGCGGGGCTCATCCGGCGCGGATGCTGCAGGAGAGGTGAGTGACGCGCGGCGCGGGGCTCATCCCGGCACGGGATGCCTGCAGAGGAGCAGTGAGTGACGCGCGGTGCGGGGCCTCATCCTGCGCTGGATGCCTGCAGGAGAGGTGAGTGACGCGCGGCGCGGGGCTCATCCCGGCGCGGATGCTGCAGGAGAGGTGAGTGACGCGCAGGCGGGGCTCATCCCGGCCGCGGGATGCTGGAGGAAGAGGTGAGTGACGCGCAGCGCGGGGTCTCTCCTGGCGCGCGGTGCTGCAGGAGAGGTGCAGTGACGCGCGGTCGGGCTCATCCTGGCGCGGATGCTGCAGCAGAGGTGAGTGACGCGCGGTGCGGAGGTCACAGCGGTCAGAAATCCGTTCTTTTCCTAAACTAGGTTATAGTGTCTGCATCACATACATCCTAATATAGTTTACGTTATTTAGGTTAGAGTCTTCATGTCACAGAAATCCACTTGTTTCCTAACCTAGGTTGTACATGTTGTAGTCTCTACGTCACGTACATCTTCTAGTTAGCTTATCTAGGTTGTAGTTTCTACGTCTCAGAACTCTAGTTAACTTACCTAGGTTATATTCTTAACCTTACAGAGATTTCCTAGGTATCTTTTCTAGATTATTATTAATATAGCCAATATGCTGACAGATATAGATACTGAATACCAGAATTGTGCTGCTGTATCATATCTTAATTAATGGATCTACAGTAGGGAGTGCTGAAGAAGTTGTATATAAATATATATTTAGATGTTAAATTGATATTTTTTGTGGGGGAAAACATGCTATATAAAGTAAATAAAGTCTGTGGTCATACCGATATGACTTGCCAATGTGTTTTCAGGTATTTACGATTTCATTCATTCAAGTTGTGAGTTTTCTGTGCCAGTAAGCATGACATTATGTCTGTGCCTCAATCTTCCAGACGCCTTGCCTTGAAGGCATCACAGGTTGGCAACTCGAAGAGTGAATCTCTACTAAGGAATGGCAAGAAGCCGAAGAAGATCATGTACCAAACGCAGAACAACGATGAATTTGATTCGAAGGAAGTGCTGACATACGAGGATGTAGTCAGACTACAGCCAAAGTCTGGCCTATGCAGACCAATAATCCTAATTGGTAAGCTAACTCTTCTAGTTATTGAGTGTGGGTTGGGCAAAGCATGATCGTCTGATGAAAATCCTTCATTTTAGCTCACCTTGACATCCGTCAAGCTGAGCTATTGCCATGGGTCGTCGTACGTCCGTCCGTCCGTCTGTCCGTCCATCTTGTGCGTCCGTCCGTCCGTCCGTCCGTCAACATTTGGCTACCGGCCAACGATAAACTCAGCAACCGTCTTGACCCCACATGTTTGAAATTGGGTATAGTTGTTACTGCTATGCTCCCATATTAAACGTCCTATTTTAAAGCACGCCAGTCGACGTACTTTCGAGCCACGGCAATTTTTTTGCAAAATGCGATTTGCCATTAGTCAGTTTAGGTTTCAACGGATTTTGCTCATTTTGGTATGTGAATGAATAAGCGCTAGGGGTTTTGATATTTAAAAAAAAAATTATGCCAAATTAGGTAGGGTTTGGCAATTATATAGCATATTATATAGACACGCAGATCAAAAACTGTGGTGTCACACTTGTCTGGTTCGTTTTACAAGATTTCATTACAATATCTTTAATGCAAAATTCCTGCTATGAACATATTTATGATTTATACTATTATTGTTATATTATTTTATTATTATGATATAATGATTTATGCTAAGAAACATCAAAGCGGGGTGTTGTAGCGCCATCTACAGTCACAAATTGTGATTCAGTTTGGTTTATAAATTATTTATAATTTATATATAAATATTATTTATTATTTTCACATCTGACTTAAAACCATAATGGCTTGTTACTTACTTGAACTTATAAACATATTCCAAATAATTTTCCTATTTTCAAATGCAAACCCAAATCCTAACCTAGCCCTAACCTAACCTAATTGAACCCTAACCAAACCTTAAATGGACTACGTCACGAATTTTCTATGGTAAAATTTGTAAATTTTGTTGCTATTTTTTTACATTAAAAGTAGGAACTAATGGGACTAAACGTATCGTCAAATTCTTACCTGATAAGATTGTTTCTCAACTAGTTAAAAATCCAAAAAACCTGGAGGATTTGATATTAGTGTTCCTGACATTAATTGCTTGCTATGGGCTATGTATGAGTCACGAGTGTATGTTAACATCGAACAATATAGTAAAATAAGAAGTATAATGCAGCAAATTAACCATAAAAAGTGAACAGAATTACTTATATTTTGTGAAAAAGTGGAAATATTTTTTTTATTTTTTACTATTTATGGTGACGTAATCACTTTAACCAAACACAACTTAACATTAACCTAACCTAACATTAATTAACATTAACTTAACCTTAACATTTTAGATAGTTTCGCGGGGTCACCATGGCAACGTGATGCCTACCAGCATGCGGACGACGTCGTCGGGCTTCTTGCCGTGCACGGCGAAGCTGTTCACCTCCAGCACCTGGTCGCCGACGCCGATGAGGCCGCTGCGGTCGGCGCAGCCTCCGTGCATGATGCGCGCAATCACGATCTGCCCCGTGCGCTCGTCCTTTTTGATCGTCGCGCCCTGTAATGATCATCAATAGCCTATCATCGTCATCACGCTGGTTATGTTCGTGGGCCCCTCCGCGGCCACGAAGGTCGGGTTGCCGCGATGCGCTTTACCCTGCTGCTCGCTTCTCATGACATGAGTGAGGTTGTAAGCCTCACGCCTCGGCACGTAACCTAGCAGGTGTTAGCATTTATGTGGTTGCAATGGTATAGCATTTTAAGTGAGATAGCATTATAGAAGCTACTGCTCTTCTTGCCAGAAGTTGGTGAGGAAGAGGGCGAATCATTCAGATGCTCCCACAACCCATTCTCCCTTAAGAACCTCGGCCGGTTAGCCACTCACACAGCGACATGCATGAACGAATAGGGTGAAAACATCGAATATCTACATTCCCAGCCCCAAAAGACACCCGGCGAATACGTTTTTTGGGCATTTTTACCCCATACGTGGAACATTGGTTATTTGTAACTGCATTGCTTTGACCGTGGAATCGAGAACACACGATGATATGCAGGTTATGCTTAAACCTTTACCTATGAATTCCAATAACCCCTTTATTAGCAAATATAGTCGAACCATTCCCTGGGACTCCCATTCCTGAGAGCAATATAACGATAGATTTCACAGGGATAATTTTACGGCAATCCTAATAAATACCTCTGCTCATCACGGGTGCATCTGCCAGCATCGTGTTTACGTACGCAGTTATGGTAGTAGTAAACGTACGACCCGAGAATTTATAGTGCGGCACACATCTTCACAAGCACAGATTCGGAACATCGGGTGGGGGTAAGCACCGAGTGTCGACATTTGACTGCCCGCACCCGCCACCACCTGCCAATACCGCGCCCACCAGCCCCGCACCTGCTCCACTGCGGAACCGCACCTGCTCGCACCGCCGCACTTGTCCCACCCGCCGCATCAGCCAACACCGCCGCACCCGCCCCAGCCATCCCGCCCGCATCCCGCCCCCACCCTGCCCCGACAGGGTGCGAGCCGCAGCCTGCAAATACCGCGCCCGCATCAGCCACACCCGCCCGCACTGCAATACCTGCCACAGCGTGCTGGTACCTGCCAATACACCCGCCCGCCCAGCAGCCGCCGCATCCGCCGCACGCGCGCGCAACGCGACCGCACGTCGTGCATCACTGCTCACTCGCTGCCGCCCGTCCCACACTCACACCCACCCACTCGCGACTCTGACACACCCGCCGACCACTGCACCCGCTGCACACTCTCAACCAGCGCCGCCCCGCCCACGTGCCTGCATAATCTCAGCACTCGTGGCACCCACGCACACCCCTGCACCGCCTGCACAACTCTCACACCCTGCCCGCCGCCCCACGTGGCCTGCACTCTCACACCCGCCGCGCACCGTGACCCCCCACACCCGCACCGCATCCAGCCCACGTCACCACACCTGCCGCCACTGCCTGCACACTGCTCACAGTCGCCCGGCGACCACCCACCCGCCCCCATCGTCACCCACACGCTGCCTGCATTTCAACGCCGCCACTCACCACAGTCGCCCCCCCAGCCCGATGCACATTTCAGACACGGCCGCCCCCGCCCGCCCGCATTTGCCCGCTCACAGACCCGACATTCCACACCCGCATCGCCCCGCCCAACCCGGCCCGCATGCCGCCGCACACTCTCACACCGCTGTCCGCGCCGCGCCCACCCCGCCCGCATGCCGCGACCGCACGCGCCCGAGCACTCTCACACTCGGCCTTGGCTCCCCCACCACCCTGACGCGCGGATGCCACTCGCCCGCACGCCCCGCTGCCACACTCTCACAGCACCGCCCACCTCTGGGCCATCGCGCCCGGGCCCCCGCCCGCACCACCCTTCACCCCGCCACACCCGCCCACCCGCTGCACAAGTCACACACACACGAGCGCACCCACAATGCATCCCCCCTCCCTGCCACACACACTCACACCAGCCCACAACCGCGCCCATGCCGCCCCACCCGCCCGCACCCACCCACACCCACTCCACCCCACCCGCACCCGCCGCACCTGCCTGGCCCCACAGAAATCTCACCAGGGGTTCGCTGGTCTTGATCAGCTTGACGATCTTCACGGAGACCTCGTCCTCGTCCACCTCCTCGTGATCGTCCGGCAGCACGGGCGAGTAGTTCTTCCCCGCGACGTCGTCGTGGGCCGAGAGCAGCGCCTGCAACCGATGAACTCACGTAAAAGTGAATGTGATACCGGCCCAAACAAATATGTGTATGTTTATGTGTATGTGTATGTGTATGTGTATGTGTATGTGTATGTGTATGTGTATGTGTATGTGTATGTGTATGTGTATGTGTAGATGTGTGGATGTGTGGATGGAGAGCAGCACCTGCAACCGATGTACGGACAGATGTGCTCGCATAGAAGTGCGCATGATCCGGACCCAAACAAACACGGCAAACAAAGAATGTTGTGATATCTCAAATTTTACTGTGTAATGGAGCAGACATAGGTGCCTTACTAATAAGAAGAGTTATAGAGTTGGTGCTATGCAAGATTAAGTTATTTAGAGAAAAATGTTATTATTAGTGTGAAAATGTATTACTACTTTATATAGTATCACAAATAGTATCTACAATCACACATGCACTAGCACACACGCACGTATACACCCACAGATGCAACATATACGCACGCACGCAACGCGAACGCACGGCACGCATGCGTAACTACACAAATACACTGGCAATGCACAGCGCGCGCGCGCACGCACACCCACACACACACACACACACACGAGCACAGCACACACACCACCACACACACACCACAACACACACACACACACGGACACACCACAGCACACACACCACACACACCACACACACACACACACACACATATCCACATCACACACACCCCATCACACACAGATAACACAACACACCACACAAACACATACACACAAGCTACAACTAGACGAGTGCACTTCACGGAGAGTGGTATACCTGCTGGCAACGACATAACGCATACGCATACCCGACTCACGAACACACGAATAACCCACGATATACGCCCACATGTATGTATTACGAGCTGGCTCGCTCGGCTCGCTGGCTCGCTGGTGATGATGATGACCGCCGGCTAGATAATCGATCGCTGCCAACACCGAAACGGTGACACGACGAACAACGAGAAGCTGAAAACATAACATCCTCCAACTCCGTTGGGCGGAGGTAATAATGTGGTTTACTGGCCATAAGCTGCTAACCTTCATGTGAGGGTTGGAGAGAATGTGGTAGAGGTCTTTGGCATCATCATGTACCCCTCTATTTTTCAACTCATTGCAAACCTGCGAGTAAGAGCAGAAAATAAAAACGCACTGCTTAATAACACTGAATGAAAAATGAACATGAAACGAAGAAATGTTACAGAAACAATGGCTCGTTTTGAATGCTGTCCTTGATGCTGGCAGAGTAAACCACTGGTAAAGTAGGAGAGTGGGAGTAAAGCACTGCTGGTTACACATTATTTTCATACCTCTTCGGCAATGCTGGTTGCTGTTGCTGAGACAACAACCTTTTCCTTATCAGTTCCTTCGGTTGCGGATACCTCTGCCACTTTATTGTGAACCTATACATTGGAAATAACCGATTTGCAATCACGTCTATGGTGGGCCAGTGTTGTTCTTCATTTGACACACTAGTAGTTGTGATAAGTAAAGATGTTACACAGAGAAATATTTAACTCCATACAGAAATTACCTAACCCCCATACTGTCTGTCACATTCTGTGCTACGGAAAGGGAGGTAGTTACTATGGGCTACCAGGCTTTAGCATTCACACTATACACAATAATTGGATTGAATAATGACCTATCAATACTCAGCTAAGAACCAAATCACGGGAATCGGACTCATCAATAAATCATGTTCACTCGCACCAGATACACGAACCCATCATTAGGTGCCACCATCATCAACACGCGCCCCGTCATTAAAAGCTTCGAGACCTGCACTAGCGCTTGCAATTCTTTACTCGCGAGCAACGTCTGCAGAAAGCTATGGTCCTCTTCCTCCGGACGCAGCTTGGCACGGATCTTGTCGAACGAGGATAGCAGATTTGCGATATCTGCAACAAGCACGTGTTTACTTGTACACATACCCCATGCTTATCTACCCCAATACAGAATCTCTTGTCCCATACGAAATATTTTCCCGTCACCTATCGATCTATGATTGATAAGCACACACGCCTTAGATTATGTTACTAGGTCAACCAAAAAAGACAAATTTGTACGTGCGCTCAGAGAAAAGATGTCAACTTTGCAGCACTTCAGTGTAAATCGTTATCTTTCGAATGTCCTATCGCAATAATGATCGCCTAAAGCTGTCTGTTGATCACGCCAGGAGGATATGTCTATTGACGGCTCGCTGCGAATAGGTGACGAGTGATATCGTCGCCATTGCTGCTTACTCTGGTCCGTCTGCATGGTGGCGCTGGCAGCAGGCATGCTCGGACGTTTCCGTCTGCGCCGACTCCCGCAGCAGCCGCAGGGGCCAGAGTCACTGTCGCCGAAATTCTCACCGTTCCTGAAACACAAGAACATACGAAGCTCACAATCGGTATCGGCAAGAGTATAAGATAATAACCCAAAGGGGGTTTATTATCCTACTCTTGGTATCGGTACGCTACTAAGCACTTTTCCAACCCGAGATCGTCCATCTCTGTTATACTAAGGGGTAAAATATCAACGAGTTGATATCAATAATTTGCCATCATGTACTGCTAATACTACGATAATAACAGATATAGGAACAGCCATGCAGCTACTTGGTAGTTACAGCGCTATCGGTTATGAAAACTGTGAAAGTGATTGAGATCTGGGCAAAATATGATCAGCTAAACAACGTTTTAAAAAAGTAGAAGACACAAGACAATCTTAACATTGTCCATAAAAACATGCAATGAAATCTCGCAACTAAACCATAGCAACACAGTATATGGATTATCTTGTCTTGTGCCCGACTTATTTCTTTTTAAATTTACAACCACGATGAAGAAGGCAACATATGCTGATATAGATTCAATCTATGAAAAAGCTGCTATGCTCGCCCATTTCCTCGCATCCCATCTCAATTATGCCAGTTGTCTACACCGACGTCACCTTGAGATGATGAATCTGTTGCGCGCAATCTCAGCAGTGAATAAAAACACGTCGTTTTCATTCGCGCCTGGTAATATCATGAACGTACGCATATGATATATTCTATTTAGTACAAGAAGTAAACAATATCTTTGAGACTATTTACTCCTGGTAGTATGCATACATATGTATCGGGTGTTAATGATCATAGTAAGAAAATAACACCTGATATGTATAATTACCAAGAGTACACGATTAGTGATACCCTGTTCACATACTCCTGTCATTATCTTACTCCTGGAGTAACGTACCCTCATCAATCTCTGCACCCTATCGACTTCCACAAGTAAGTAAGTAACTATCTACGAGTTGCTACTGGGTACGGAGCGACAGTGAGCCTCTGGGGGGATCGTGAATGAGAGATGGAACCAGATGCTGGCTCGTGCAGAAGTAGGGAGTCGCTGAACCCCACCAGCACGCATCCAACAGAAGGCATGGACCAACACCACCGTCTTACGGTGGTGCGACTTACAGCGATGAAGAGAAGAGAATCGGTGGTGGGACAGCACGTGTACTTTCGTAGCAGGCCTGTGCATGATGAGAGACATATGCCGAGCACTTCTCCAATTAATTCGGCCTATTTCCGACGACGGTGCACAAGCAAATACGAATTCTTCGAGCGCAGCAAGTATGGCCTGAATTCTCCTGTCAGGTTCCCTACTTATAGCCCCCATGACCAGTTGTTGCAGCCTAACTTGCACCACTGTAGTGTTGTGGTAGGCAACGTACACGTGCAGGACTGTATCAAGAGCGTATAAAGAAGGCGTATCCTTCTTTATACGCTCTTGACTGTATATATGTGTTTTGTCGGCTTTCTCTGACCCCCGCTAACAGGAAACTGTGCTCTCACTCTCAGCATATGTAATAAGAACTCGATCTCACATCTTGTGGCCAAGCGCTCGCTCTCCGAATGCCGTTTGCCCGTTTTTATAGCCGACATGCAGTGATGTTGGTATTGCATAGCGCTGGTCGAGTGTTCTCAACATCACAAACTCCTCTCTGCCCTAGGGAGAGAACTGTAACGTAGCTATCTCGAAATCTCGACAATATTAAGTCTACTTGCGGCAAGGTACGTAGCAAGCGCAGTAGAAGCAAGCAAATACAACACGTCGTCACGTCGATAGCTTCAGTGACATTACGAAATGTTTTCACTAGCGACGTACGTAACAGTTTGCTGGGAGTGCTGACCTAGCATACTGGCAATCCAGTTATCTAGCAAACAACTGCCAGTAGCGTACGCACAGGACACATACCAATTAATAGTCTGGGAACTAAAACGATATGCTTCGAGTTTTTCACGTTGAACTCTTATTCCGTCGATCCTTGTTTTCCAATGATCGCAATATATAATATTCTGGGGCAACCGACCTTTTATCGCGTGAGATGTACATAGCCGCCATGAAGGAATTTTTCTGAGTGAGCATCAGAACGAGAGTCGGATGAATTTGACAGCGAAAGATAACATGGGAGCACCTGAAAATCGTTTGCAGGATTAAACTTGCTGCTGTTTTTTGAGCTGGGTTTAGGAGACCTCATGCAGTCAAATTGGCGCATTGTACCAGTTTCGCTGTTGTATATTTACCGACAATCGGCACTGTGACCCTACACACTTTCACATACAGGAACAGCAGGCATTCCCTATCTGTCAGGCGATGGCTGGTGCCTGTGTTTATCTCACATGGACAGCTAGTAACGTTGAAATGTAGAAGACAGGATGCGCGGGGACTGGGCCTTGACCACACAAAATGCTAGCATCTTACGAGGAAATCCCCACACACACACAAACACGCGCACGCACACAGATGCACTCACACACACTTACACACACTTAAACGTAAACACTACTCCTGAGTAGCAGCTTCCATCTGTGAGAGCGCTGCAATATGGAAACTGGTAATGCAAATCTGTACGTTGGAAACAGGGCTCCTCTATCAAACGTAAAAGCAGCCTGTACATGCTTTTGCATGGCATAATGAATAACATTTCACATAATATATATTATATATATATATATATATATTTATTTATTTATTTATTTATTTATTTACTCCCGATTCAGTCTTTTATGGCATACGATCGGTGTTCGTGACACTGGCTCAGACCTAACTTATCCCTCTAGAGGGCTGACCGAGGAGACAGCATAATTTGCGAGCGTGGCAACTACGTGCGGGGCTGCTGCGGGGAACGTGGCCGGGTGAACCAGGCAGCTGCTGATACGCATCTCCCGAGCGAGCGGAAATAAACTCGTGCGGTCTAATCAAAATGGTTAAATTTAATTAACTCGAGCGCCGTTTAAATTTGTGAAGCGCAAACACGTGCGATGTGCGTGCGTGCGTGTGCGCGTACGTGCGTGCGTCCGCGTGTGTGCGTGCGTACGCGCGTTTGTAAATGCGCATTTCTATTTGCTCGCGTGTGTGCTGATGGCTTCAGGGCGGTGACCGCCGCTGTGCACACAAGCGTGTAAAACACCCCATAAATCAAACTGTGCAAACGACGTGCGTGCCAGCGTGAACAAATACGTGCATTGTGGGGCGCGACGCCGGCGCGCGACGCTATAAAACAGAGAACTGCGAGATCGCGCGTAAAAGCGCGGCATCTCTATCGTAGTTCATCCAAGGGTATCGCTGCTCGCACATGTCGTCTTCTCTCCTTCTCTGCTAGCCTGAACCAGGCTGCAAGACATACGCCAGTACACGGGCCATTCGCTGCATGATCGTGTCGTGGAGTCACTTCTCTGTCTGCGCTGCTTGCTACAGAGAACGTTACAAGCTCAACGATTCTGCAATGCAGTTCGAGGACGTGTCCACGTAGTAAGAGCTCTCTCGCCAATGATCACCACGTACGCATATATAATATCCAGGGTTAAATAATGCTATGCTTCTTTATTGAGATAATAACAATAATGTAATAAAGAAAATACAGAAACTTCTTAAATAACATATAAAATGAGGATAACGATCCTTTATGACCTTACTCCTCATTAGTATTTCCTGATTGTAAAACGACTTATCCGAACAAGCTAGAAGCTCTCATAGTTCAATGCAGTTACGTTGTTGGTAGATTTCGTGCAGGTCACATCACGAGGCTACGTATACTTACATGTCTGGGAAAGAAATATCCGAAAAAGCAAAAAAGGACCGGCTGAGACAATTCGCCGACGCGATTTGCTGTCACACACGGCGGCGACAAACCACTGTCAACGTTGCCCCGAGCAAAAAAACACGTGTCACTCGTCCTCCTCTCCGCCACTGCCGCCTCACGAAAACACACGATCGGCCCACTCGGGTCTCTGCCGGCAGTATAACGCCGCTTTTCCTTCGATAACGTTCACAGATCGACTGAACAGCGCCGGTGGGTTGTTCGTCATACATGCAGCACATGCGGCCAGCGGACGCTCACTGTCTGAGCGCTCTCCCCTGACTCTCTTCCTCTTGCTTACACGTCTAGGTGTTTGTACTACACAAATATCAAGTCGCGTACACAGACGCGCGCGCGAGAACGCACGCTGGGCCCGCCATGTGCTGCGGTATCGCGGGCAATATGTATGCTGCTAGGACACACCCACGCGGCCAGATTGGTACGGTATCATTGGTTGCAGAAAGAGCTCAAGCGAAGCCAACGAGTAACTGCGCTCGTTAGAGATAGGTTTTTACACAAGCAAGAGGCGAATTGGGACTGGCGATTTAGCATGTGCAGTAAGCTAAGCGGTTTCTCACGGGTACACATCTCAGTTTAGCTCAACCAAAGCCGCACTGTGGCCTGCAAACCATAGGGCAATGCTCTCCAGGAAATCACAAGTCTCTGCAAATAGAGCCGGGAAGAAGAATAAGTAGTAGAAGACAACGAATAAGAAGACGAAGAAGAAGAAAAAAGAAAAAGAAAAAGAAAAAGAAAAGAAAAAGAAAAAGAAAAAGAAAAAGAAAAAAAAAAAGAAAAGAAAAGAAAAGAAGAGAAGAAGAAGAAGAAAGAAGAAGAAGAAGAAGAAGAAGAAGAAGAAGAAAGAAGAAGAAGAAGAAGAAGAAGAAGAAGGCAATTCCATGCTGGGAGGACTAGATAAGTAAAATCTAAATTCAAATAGTTCATGACAAAAGATGTTTGCAACTGCAAGCAACCTCATTAAGTTATTGAAAACAACTTTTTACTGACATGGCAGTGTTGATTTTTCGAATTTTACCATAATTCATTTAAAATGTGAAAAATTTTCTAATTTTTACTACAAAATTGTAGTCAGGTCTCAGGGGAGAGATAGTGATCCGTTAGATGGCGCATTATTAGTACAAATAAGTTTGTGGATATTAGAAATCAGTTAACGCCTAACCTAACCCTAATCCTAACCGCTAATCGTAACCCTAACCCTACCCCTAATTCTAAAATAAAAACAAAATTAGACAAAAATACAAAATAAAATAAATAAAAGACAAAATTAGCCAATCACAGCCGTCCCCTAGCGGATCACTATCTCTCCCTGTGCAAAATTTCAAATTTTGTGCCTAGAGTGATCATCTCATATTCTAGCTACAATTCATCAATGGAAAAGTAAAATATGCCAAAGCAATCTTTAGTTTAACCAAATCAATGCCTATTATTTAGAAAGGTTCTTTCAACACACATGAAAGAAAAATTACTGAGTAGTGAAGCATGGTAATTTAGTGTCATGTCAGTCACGAAAAGTTATAATTTTCTCCATATCTGACCTACACCTTTATCATTTTTGAAGATACTCATGAATGATTCTCTTAGTAATGACCATAAGCTACGCAGAATGAATAAATAACGGCTTTAACTCTGATCAGGACAGTACACAGTATGCTACTGAAAACGGTCACGTCAGTCACAGTGTCACGTCAGTCACACATTGTTTTTATTTTTATCTAGGATCTTAAAGTTAAGACACATCTGCCAAACTTTGCGTTAAGCGACCCGAAAGAAGAAGAAGAAGAAGAAGAAGAAGAGGAGGAGGAAAACGACGACGACGATGATGATAATGGTCATATGATAAGGAGGAGAAGGAGGGGGAGGAGAAAGATCGACCGAAATAAAAGAATATAGAAGTTTCACGTCCAGGGACATATGAACACGGCAGAATGTGTTTCCCCAATGGACGGCCAAATACACACACACATAACTGTAGCAATCAAACTGAAACAGGAGAGGAGGATATTGCATACACAAGCAAGTCCATTCAAACTTCCTCCAACCCCGTTCCCGAAGTTTCTCCTCAAATCATTCTAGCAGCAATGCATCGCGTATCAAACATTTACGGACGCGCGCTCGGTCAACAGCTGCGGGAACATGAGTGGACACATTGGGGGTCTAATCCCAGCGGTACCAGTAACAACACACAATCTGCCCCACGCAGACATTGTGTACACCCGGAAAACAGCGATAGGCGCCTCTACATCTATTCCCCATCGCTCATTTCTCGTCCAACTCTGCCCACTTCTACTCCCTCTCCATTTTCAATGCACACACTGTCCGTGGATGGGTCTGCATGCCTGCGGGGCTGACTGATCACGCCAGGATGGGGCGAAAAAACTTCCGTGCACATGTGGCCAACACACGCGATTTCAGATGTGAGATTATAGCAAGAAGAGTGTAAAACGTGTATTAAAATAACACGAACCTTTGTAATAGTGCCGATTATTCATCGTTTTTCTATTGCGCAGACACGGAATTTTCTATTGTTCGGATTTTTCTGGATTTGCGACCATTTTCCAGTTCATCCAGTATATGGTTTTGAGTACAAGTGTTTACAAACTATTTAATAATTGATCAATAAAATATTGATCATTTTATAAAATTGCAGAAATTCACCCAAAATGCTTAAAAGTACATCACAGTTGGAGGGCTGCCGAGATTTATGCTCGCACTAATAAAAGCCTGGCATAAACACCTGCCTGGCATTACCAATGCAAGCATGGCAGGCAGGAGACAGCGGGACAAACAAACAGAAGCGAAGCAGGCGCTCAAGAGCTAGTTCTGTAAACACTGAGTTAGGCCAGGACTGAGTCACCAAACGACAGACGCAGCCTGCTAGGGCGTCACTCCCCAATGCTTCCACGCCCACCACGCCTGCCCATTACACCCGCATCACCCAGTGCCATTCAGAGCGCAGGCATCATCCTCTACCTTCTGAAATTGTGAGCAGCAAGGAACGACTGGTTTCGATACGTAAGATCATGTTTCCACGAGCCTGAGGCTGCAGATGACACCAGTGCCCCTGCTAAACAGAGATGCAGAGTGACACACGGTCGCCGTAAGTACAGTGACGTTACATTCCGCTTTTATATAAACCTTCACGTTTTGCCACAAAGCAGTGTTGATGTTGATGTTGAGCGGTATAGAGACGGTTGCTATTGTCAAGTGGGCGTTATTAGCAGTGGAAATCTAATCAGCCATATCAGCCATGACAGCACGGTCAAACTTCACATGGACGAAGTCATCTTAATCAAACGATTTACTTTACAAATTTTGCAATATCTGATGAGCACATTTAGATAGTTTCTCCATTTCATTGGCTATACCACGGTGACTAACTTCTAGGTGAATAACGTTGTAGGTTTTTAACAAGAGCCGCAGAGCGTCTGGGCTCATCTGAGGTCTGTTGCTACGGTTATAAACGTAATATTTAAGTTGTGCGTAGTGACTTTTGTTAGGCGCAGATATATGCAGATACGCAGTTGCGTACACATCATTTCAGCAACCTTCTGCATTCTGCATACCTCCCAAATCCCATTGGTTGATACAAATCGCGTGCTTGATACTCCTATTTTATGGTGCATTGTGACCCTAACCCTAACCCTATTATTTTTTTAAGAATTAATTGTTGTAAAAATTATTTGTTGTTATTAAATTGTTGTAAATAAATCATGTAAATATTTGTGTTAATTGGTAAAAAATAGAATAAAGATAGAAAAATACAGAAAACAGGTAAATAATAAAAAATCAGATGGGATTTGATCCAACGACCTTTGAGCCGTGATGCCTGTGCTGTACGCGTTCGGCTATCCGGGCTTATTGGCTTTCTAGATTATGGATTTGCCATGAATATGACAACACTGTGACGTCATTGAGGCAGTTCAGGAATCCATGTTTAACCCTCCTCTTGAGGGTCAAAAGGTTATCAGACACTTACTCTTCGCACGTCAGTGAAAAGCACATTTCATGGTCCTTTCAATAAAGTGATAAAAATGGTAGGTCAGCGCTGAAACAAAAAAGATTTTCACTCTGTCCATTAGGCCATGTCCTCAGACAATGCCTGATATCTGACCTTTCCCCCACTGCACTTTGACCTGTGACCTCCAATTTCGCACTGGTGATGGGTTTCCTGCCCATCACACTATACACCGAATATTAAGAGCATAGGTCGAGCCGTTAAGAATTGTGCCGCAATTCCGTATTTCCTCCTATACCTTAAGTTAAGGGGAAAATATTCCCCCTTCGTTTACACATCTTGACCTTTGACCCTTGACCCCCAAATTTGCCATCCTGAGTCCTTTTCACGATCCCCCCGAAGTCCCGAATATCGTGACCGTACGTCGAGCGGTTAAGATTTGTGCCCAACTGTTGACGGACGGACGCACGCACGCACGCACGCACGCACGCACGCACGCACGCACAATCATGCGATTGATGATTCTACAAGCTGCATCTGACTACGTCAGATGAGCTAGAAATGGGTTTTGTATTGGGAATGTACAAGCAGATCCAAAATGCAAGAGCTGATGCTAGTTACACGTGTTCCAACACAAAACCATTTTTTATATCGAACCCTCTAATGGGTGGTCGGCACTTGCTTACTTACACAAACGAATAATGTATACTCACATATTTGTTGCATGCATGCTTTATCGGGTAGCAGAGTACTTGTATAGGTAGGTGCCTGTTGATTACTATGTAGACTCATTCAATCAACAGTTGAGCCTCTTTCCCCTAAGCCAGAGAAGCTGGCTTTACAGTTATTGGCATTATATTCTTGCCACATGCTCGCACTTTTCCCTGGTAGCTTTTTCACCAAGCACATTCCAGTTTGTGGGCCAACATTTGGCGACCAGATTTGGATGTGTCACGCCCATGCGTACTAAATCTCCAGTACAGAACTTGCCCTGATTAAGCCATACATTACTATATGCTGCAATTGAGGTATGTGCGAAGAAACTTATGGAAAATACTGCTCCAATATATGCAAAAGTGACTGTAACCAGCTCTAAATATTATTTTCTTTATTAATGATTAGCTAATTATATGATTCAGTGGGGGTTTGGCACTTGGAGTGCCAACAACCATGCCAACATATGTAAACTGTTATATAACGTTTATTACTTTGCAACATGGGTTATGCAGAATTACAACATACTAAAATGTATATCAAATGTATGAACTATATGTATGAAATCAGTTTTTTTTCTTCTGAAAATCAGTTTAGAATGAATATATGCAGAGTGGCTGACTTGAAGACTGTATAGTCTATACGCCCTCCCTCGCTGTATTTATTTAAA